CCTATGTTCTGTTCTCTATTGCGTCGCGTCCTAATGCACGCGTTCGCGTAGGCCAATATTGGACCCCCTAGTTCTTCTACGCGATCGCGAATTCTCCACGAGATCGCGATGACCAGTCAGTGGAACCCTTCGCGATCGCATTCCCTATTTCCCGCGATCGCGTAGGGCAATTTTGCCCAGCATTTTCTTTAAAAAACTCAGAAACCAGTAGCTACGGGTTTATCACAAAATATCACGAGCTCTTCTTCCACCTCCGAGCCCTCTAGCGTACTGTAGAGCGATTCTTCACCAAAGACTCTAGGGTAAGTTTCATTCTAAACTTGTTTCCTTTCGATTTTCTTCATTAATTAATTCCTAGCCCTAAAACATGAAATCAAGGTAGAAATTATGGGTTTGGGTAGAGTTAGGGTTTGAGAATTTTGGGTGATTCAACCTCAATTTGGGTCGAATCTTAAACAAATTCTATTTGCACTCTGGGTTATGGGTGATGGTTTTGTCCGAGCCTAGAGTTTGGACGATGTGGGCCCGGTGTCCTAAATTTGGGATTTTTGGGAATAATGCTAGAGAAATTCTATATCTAGGCTATGGGAAGTTCCATTGAGTCTTATTGATATTTATTAAATTATTATGCCTAGATATCACTGAATTGGGAGGTGAATCACGAGGGTAAGCAATGTTGTGAGGATTAAGGGATTTCAAGGCTTTGAGGTAAGTGTTTGGTTTAACCCTAGCTTGAGGGAATAGGAGTTGAATCTTGTTGCTAATTGCTATTGTGATCGAGTACGATGTATAGGCATGGTGACGATTATCTATACATTGGTGTCTAGCATGACCGTGATTTTCTATAATGTAATTATTCGTGATTGGTTGTGAACTCCGTGTTTATTGGAGGATTCCTATTGTTGTGAATAACATGGTGACGGTAATATGTGACTTGACACCTGGGCACTGGCTCGAATTGTGATACGAATATTGAAAGTATACGAAATGCCTGATTCTTTGAAGCGTTGGCTCAAAATAGTAAGGTGAACTAAAAGATAAGGAAAGTAAGAAAGAGAAAGCGTTGTTGATTATTCCCTTGCCGGACGTTAGTTTGCATTTGTTGAATTCTTTCCCTTGCCGGATTTTGTCAAATATTTTGCTTATTTTGTGCCCCTTGATTGTGACTATTGTTGGGGAGTCGGACTGTAAATAATATGAGGATCGGTTGCACGCCGCAACAGTGATATGTGAGGATCGGTTGCACGCGCAACAATAACAAATAGATCGGGTTGCGGCCGCAACAATGATACATGATAATGATATGGGTGGGTTGCACGCCGCAAACAATGATATTGTGGAGGGGTTGCACGCCGACAAATGAAAATTATGGAGCGGGTTGCAGCCGCAAACAATCAGTTAGGCTATGTGTTTACATTTGAGTATTGATTCCTTGTTCACTGTGAACCTAAGTTTGTTTAGTTGTTCC